AAAAAGAAAACATTTTTTTGAGTCCCCGCCCCCCACATACACATGTAGATATGCGTCGGGTGCGCCTACGTGCGAAAACGACGATTGCGCCTATTGTGCCGCACGTTACATATCGCCGCAAATGTCGCAATGAGAGCAATAATTCTGATAACACTAAACTGATGAGCAGTAAAAGCATTTTAATCGTTGCGTATGGGCGTTTTTTGCGCACGCAGCTTTAAGGCTTGACATGTTTGGTGTCTATTTACCCAACGTGACCCCGACTTTTATGTTTTACCAAAAATATGGGTAAGAATAAATGTTTTATAACATAGGAAAACTTTTTTTAAAATATATTTATGGTACTTTTTTCATTATATAGTAAAAAAAAAATAACCCCCCGTGGGGTCACAAAAGAAAGCTCTATCTGTCCCCAAACATTTTTAACATATATTGCAAGGCTATAGTCAGGTCATGCTGACTGGTGAAATTTTTGACTGACTGGTGAGACACCGCCAAATTTTTCAAGCCCTGCCCATAGCCATAGCTAAAATTATGTCCTCCACCATCTTGCAGCAGAGCTGGACCGCTTTGCTCGGTTTGTAAGCAACGGCCCTTTCTGTGGCAGTCTGACACTCTGCCTTTAAGTCAGAGTTAGAGCCCTCCATGCCCAAGCTCCTTGGTGAGTGGAGGGCTCTAGCACTGACTCAGGGAGAGAATGGCATGTTGTAATGCTGCAGAAAGAGCCATCGCTCTGCCTCATCAAAGGCCTAAACCTTGCTCAGTTCACTGTAAGCTCTTCAGAAAAACCACAAGAGATAAATCCAATGAACTGGCCAATAGAACCTTGTGTTACGATATCAGGTCTGATGATATCTTATGAGCAAAAATGTTTGCCAAAAATTGGGGCGCTAATACTTGTGAGCAGTTAATAATAAGGACAGACATGGCATGCTGAATGTTGTAGTCCATAGTAAATAGGGAAGTATATCATTACAATGATGACATCATACCAAAACAATAACCAAGAACTTACTTTCTCCAGGAATTTCCAGAGAAGAGGTAGGGTGTCTTTTCCATCCTGCTGCTGCACAGTATGTAGTATATATTCAATGGAGATCCGATTTCTGCAGTTCCATATCTTTGAGCAATACACATTACTGTCCTGTGGTAAGTCCATCTTCTCTCCACTTATCAGAGGATCACCATACACCACCTTTACTACAGGATTGGAACTAATTCTCTCATCCTGCCGGATGTAATTGTTCACAGTCATGAGGTCCCTGTTTAAGCTCTGAAACCAGAAAAAAAAATATTTAGAAATCCAGGAACATGTAAAGTCTTCTTCTTGATACTTTACATAACAAGTGCGAAACATTTAACCATTTATCTGCCATGGATCATAAGGAGGTGATCCTGAAAATAAAATATTTTCATTTACAACGCTAATAGGGATACATACACATGTCACACAAAGGTCTCGTTCACACCAAGGCGTATTGCATATGCGCGACGGTCGCGAGTTTCCGAAGGCTACTTGGCTGTATCCCAATGGAAACGCGCAACAAAACGGCCCAAAGTAGTACCTGTACCTTTTCAGGTGTGGGCCGTTTTGTAGCGCGTTAGGGACGGGTGGAAATACGCCAAGGTGGGAACGAGACCATTGAATACAATGGGATTTATATTTTTGAGCGTTTTGTAGAGCGTTCGTCGAGCGTAGAACGCGCTACAAAACGTTCAGGTGTGAACGAGGGCAAAGGGCATGGGGAGCTGTGCACTGCCCCAGAGGACATGTAGCAATGTAAAAATTTAATAAAATATCATTCAGTGGGGAGATGGTCCACCATTTTATGAGACTATGAGGGCAGCATGGCAAAAAGAAAACATTTTTTTAATTACATGCTACAGAGATGGTTTTAAGCTATATTGTAATGGCATTCAAGCTATAATTGTCATCCCACACAATTACTGTATATCCTTTTGTATCACTTGCTCCACCTACTAGATTGTAAGCTCTTACGAGTAGGGCCATCCTAACCCTCCTCTATTAGATTTGTATTCTAACTGTATTGTCTCCCTGTATTTTGTAAAGTACTGTGTAAACTGTTGTCGATATAAATCTTGTATAATAATATTATTTAGGGATGCACCGATACTGGTATCGATATCTGTGCTGATTCAGAGTATTTGGGTGAGTACCCATACTCGCCCAAATGCTCCGATGCCTAGCACGAGTACTTCTGGTATCAGGAAGCCAGGCAGTGCGTCATTACAGGCTGCCCAGCTTGCGGATTGACCAGGAAGCGGCTCCATGCTCTCTCGTCACTTGTGATGAGAGAGCATGGAGCCAATTTCCCGGCCATTTAGGAAGCCGGGCAGAGTGTAATGACGTGCTGGCGGCTTCCTGATTGGTCGGGAAGCTGGCCAATCAGGAAGCTGGCCTTGTGAGGTGAGGTTACCTTACCTTAGTATGTGCAGCCTGTCATCCATCCGGTACCCAGCCGGACCCGTCTGACCATCCAATCAGGAAGCCGGGCACCGTGCAAAGACGCGACGCCCTGCTTTCTGATTGGCCGCAAAGCTGGCTTCAGGCTCCCTCATCATCTCATGACGAGAGAGCATGGAGCCGGCCTCCCGGCCAATCAGAAAGCAGGGCGTTGCGCCCGACTTCCTGATTGGCCGGCCAGACGGCTCCAGCTGGGTACCGGACGAAAGCCGCGCTCTCGCTGTAGAGGCCCCAGGGATGACAGGCTGCACATATAGGTGAAACTCGAATAATTAGAATATCGTGCAAAGTTCATTTATTTCACTAATGCAACTTAAAAGGTGAAACTAATATATGAGATAGACTCATTACATGCAAAGCAAGATAATTCAAGCCGTGATTTGTCATAATTGTGATGATTATGGCTTACAGCTCATGAAAACCCCAAGAACCCCAAATCCACAACCTCAAAAAAGTAGATTATTACATGCAATCAATAAAACAAGGATTGTACATAGAACAATATCGGACCTCTGAAAAGTACAAGCATGCATATGTACTCAGTACTTGGTTTGGGCCCCTTTTGCAGCACTTACTGCAATTACTTTTGCACGATATTCTAATTATTCGAGTTTCACCTGTACTAAGGTAAGAGGGGACTTTCTTGTTAATCGGGAAGCCGGGTAGCGAGTCTTTAGACGCTGCCCGGCTTATCAGGAAGCCAGGTGGCGAGTCATTACACGCCACCTGGCTTCCTGAATGGGACTTCCGTTACTCGGTAATTGGTATCAGCGAGTACCAGAAAAAAAATTATCGGTACTCGTACTGGGTACCAGAATTCCGGTATCGGTGTATCCCTAATATTAATATTAATAGAACATTGTGATCCTTGTTGACAGCGTCATTGACACTGTATCCTGGCATCAAATAATTTGTAATACATTTTTTAAATATTACATTCTTCCTTGGCTTACACAAAGCAGCAGGACCTCTATCTGATTAATTTTAATTATAAAAAAAGTATTTCCTGGCCATATTCATGGCAGCGCTGACAAACGGGTTTTAGATCCAATTACCCCTAGCTGACAGGAACCAAAAGGGTTAAACAAGGCCTAACCCTCTCTATAAAAGCCCCTCCTCCTGCTGACTTCCCCAGTCTTTTTTGTTCCTTTCCCCCTAGGACAGGGTTGTTTGTTTGCTGGACGTCAGGGCTGCAGTGAATGACCACTTCGGTAGAAGTGGTTTGCTCTCTCGACTTGGAGTCGAGTTATACAGGTGAAACTTGAATATTTGGAATATCATGCAAAAGTAATTGTGGATTTGGGGTTCTTGGGGTTTTCATGAGCTGTAAGCCATAATCATCACAATTATGGCAAATCACGGCTTGAACTATCTTGCTTTGCATGTAATGAGTCTATCTCATATATTAGTTTCACCTTTTAAGTTGCATTGGTGAAATATATGAACTCTGCACAATATTCTAATTATTCGAGTTTTACCTCTACATTTATTTTTTGCATTCAATGATGTTTGTCTATGGATTTTTTTCCCACCCTTACTTCCGCTTGGGTAATCCCCATTTGTCAGCGCTGCCATGGATATGGCAAGGAAAATGGAAAATGTAATCATACTTACCGTAATTTCTTTTTTTTTCCTGATTATACTCCATGGCAGTGCTGGGCTTCCACCCTATGGAGTTATTTAGCTTGTTACTAGACTGGGGAAGTCAGCAGGAGGAGGGGCTTTTATAGAGAGGGTTAGGCCTTGTTTAACCCTTTTGGTTCCTGACAACTAGGGGTAATTGGATCTAAAACCTGTTTGTCAGCACTGCCATGGAGTATAACCAAGAAAAGAAAATTACGGTAAGTATGATTACATTTTCCCTTTTCTTAGGTAGGTTTTGCTGTGACACATCATTTTTTATCTAGCAGTAATAGTCAGAATTGAACATATGAAGTAGCAGACAGAACAGATCTAACAGCTATCGAAAGGTTCACACTTCAAAATAAATGGATGGCAAGGCATGTGTGTAAGCTTTCTCTGGTGAAGGGCGGACAGCAGAAGCGCCGTGTGTGACAATGGCACACACAGCCCTTCTTGGGACAAGATGGAGTGGGGTCAACCACCTTCAGCCTGAACAGAGAATCTCAACCCTAATGTGGCTCCTGTCTCCCAGGCATATCAGCTGCAAAACAGAGTGGCAGCATTTTGCATGGGATATGGGGTAGACTCTTAGTTTACTGTGCAAGATGGTGACACTGAGTGTTCATGGGTGAGGTCAATGAGGTGGAGACACAGCAGTGGCTGAGCTGTCACCAACACCAAGTTGCACAACATGTGTGGCACCACGAGTTCCAGTGGTATGCCCTGTCCTACATCCTTCCTGCCATCCAGCAAAGACCCAGTGGACCGTGAATAAGATGTAATATCCCTGCCCATGCTTGCTAGACCACATGTCTGTGGGCATGAGCATCCTGCCGCTGACTGTGTGATCAAGTGACAAGGAGACATTTCCTTCCGAATGCTGGTGGAGGGCAGGGATGGATTTCTGGGTCAAAAAATGGTGACCAGACACCTGCCACTGATATACAGCATAGGCTGCAAATCTGCAGAATGAGGCAGATCTCACTAGCTGGAACAGGAGCAGCTGTAAGGTCAGCAATTATGACAAACTGGCATTGAGATGCTGGGCATGCGGGTGATTTGCTGCATATTTTTTCATCCACTCCAGCTGCTAGGGAAAAGACACCTGCCTGCTCAAGGTTGTAGCTGGAGATGGTAAGGTGGGGTTTGGAGACTTTGAGAAAGGTTGAAGCCTACACCTAGGCCCACTAAGTGTGGCCGCATGGTGACCCTCTTCCTTGTTTGATAGCATATAAGCTATTCCACTCAAGCCCCTTGTCAGACCACCATCTTTATCGCTTGAGGCGAAAGATTTTGCACCAAATGTAGATGGAGATTCCTGTGGACTGGTGGAACAGATGGAAGGAGACATGCAATTAGGAAGAGGATTGAAGATTTACAGTGCTTGATATACTGCAGGCAGAGGCTGCAGACCATAACAGTGCTGTCTACGGCACATTATGAAAAAAGGATCACAATACTGAGCCTTGTCGAGAGGACATAAGGATTTCAGTGGCCTGCACCTGTGGAGCTCCCCCTGGATGACATCCTGCTTTGCTGATGCTGTGCCTCTCCTTCATTCTCCTCCTGTACATTCTCAGGCACCCAATTACTATCTGCCATCTCATCATCTCTACTCTAGTCATTATTGAAGCCCACTTGGCAGTAAGCTGCAGGATCATCACTGACAATTGATTCTTCCTGCCTTTTGTCCCCCTTTATGCTACATACACTCTCTTCCTCAGCATCTGATAACATTAATTGGTGTGCATACTCCTACAGAAAGTGACTGAAGCTTGTGCCGACTCCTTCATGCAAATTTGTGGGGCTATGGGATTAGATGTTGAAGAGGAGCAAGAAGATGCTGCATCTGCTGAAAACATTGCACTACATTGCACCTGGGAGAAGGATGGTAATGCCTTAGGCATCCACTCCACCAAATGTTCTGGTTGTACAGCACACCCATTGCTAGAAAGGAAAGGAAGTGCCTCGTCTTTCAAAGGTGTGGCCCGACCACTGTTTTGACCTACTAGCTGCATGTAAAAAAACGCTGCCTCTCCCTTTAGGCTTCCCAGGCATTATAACAATAGAGGATTGCCTAATTTTATTAGCAGCTATAGCAATAGGGTGTCAGGAAACCAAGAAACCAGACAAAAATGGAAGGTGCAGGTTAAAACTAAAAGAAGTTTAATAAAAATAACAATAAACAAAATGGCAAAAAACGGTGGAGAAAGTCCAGGACATTGTCGGTGCCAAGTCAGAGGTCAGAAGCCAAAGCAGGAAGAACAGAAACAAAAGCTGGAGTCATGAATCAAGAGATCAGTCAGCCAGAGCTGGGGTCATACATGGAGAACAGCAATGACAGCAGAGAACTTGGCAGATCTGGCACACGCAAAGGCGGAGACTAAATAAACAAGCTGATGGTAAAATAGTGAACTTATTTTGCATCATCACTCTGAGACAGGAAGGTGTCTGAAGTTTGCCATTAGTTGGAGAATGATGATGTTTATGAGTTTGGTCATAAGAGGGCGCCAAAGAAGAACAAACAGTGTCAGACAAACTACAACAGAAGACAGTTCAACAGGACAAGGAAGGGTAAGAAACTAGACGGGAGGTCAAGGACGTAGGCAACCAGGCTAACCTTCCTGGGGAATAAGGAAAGGCACAATAAAATGGGGTGCCAATTTTGGAGAAGGCACTCTGAGATTGAGGTTACGGGCAACAAGTACACACTCTCCCCAACCTGGTAGGAAGGAGCAGGTAGATGCCTTCAATCTGCCTGGAGATTCTGGCGCTGCATAGAGGCATGAAGGGAATTCTGAATCTGCACCCAAGAAGAACGGAACGCCTGAAGAAGATCCTACAAATCCGGAATGTTTTGAGGCGTAAAAGATTTGGGTAAAACAGATGTCTGAAACCTGTAGTTAGCCATAAAATGGACTGGTACTGGGTCCATTTTATTTCGTTTTCTAGTTTATAGGTTTTTAAACTGATGTTTTATATTTGTTTATACATGTATACAATCTTTGTTTTCCAAAGAAACATTTAATACATGACAAATAAATCCCAGACCACAATTTATTTAGTTATCTAAAGAGTTTTCTAGGTAAGCTGTGTAACTGAAACCTCAGATGGAGCCATTTCATAAGACACAATTCTAATTCACAGCTTCAGCTACTGAATTCTGAAAACAATAGGCTTTTTTATAATAAAGAAGATATGGCAGGACTTGTAAAAAGGAGACTAAATACCCACCTTTTGCCTGGATAGAAGACTATATAATATTAGTATGCAATATGCCATAATTACCTGACTACAACAATAACAACAAAAACACTTTTTTTATCCTTGATCAACTAATCAATCAAGCAATTAATAAAAAATATATATAAACCCACATATTTAACTCCTTGAACTATTTAACATGCATATAACATAGTTCCATAAAGTTATTTTAAAACATCTGTAGAGGTCTTGGTACAGAAATACCAAATGTGTATATAATGTTAGGAGTTCTGTGTGTCTCTATGGATCCAAAGTGTATGTATGTGTATGTTATAAATGTAAGAGTGTGCTATATAGGTATTTATGATTTTTTTCTCCTTTTATAACATTTTATTTTAATTTCCCATGGAAAGTAAATCAACCATAAGGGGTCTGAACAGATCTATGACAACCCTTCTATACTTCGAAGAGGGAGACTGGGGGTTTTTCAGTTCACCCTGAAGAAGCGGTTCCAGCTTCAGGAGAGCTGAGCATGCCTCTGTTCTTTCACATTGTGGTGAATGTCACGCCACACCCACAGCTCTTGCATGGCTGCTGTCACACTAAATGAGGGTTGATGAGTTTTGTAACTATAAGGCAAACCAGACAACGCTAAGTTAATAACTCTGGTCAAATATAAAGCAGGAATTAGATTTAAAGGGCTGTTAAAAACACAATGTGCAAATGTAAACATCTAATCTGGATTTTTTTGGTAAGGCAAAAAAGTTACTGCACTCAACACATGAGTTCAAATACATTACTTACCCCGAGCACAGGGGTAATGACCATTGATACAAAATGCTTCTCCCAGTTGTTCCTCATTTCTTTGGTTGACCAAGTTTCATCAAAGTTGACAGGCCCTGCAGGATACAATCACACGAGTAAAGGTTTACCGAAGATTTCCCCATTAACTAAAACTACTCTCAGCTTTTGTTTAGGTTTCCTTTCCTGTCTGTGTTTTTGGAGAGTCCACTCACTGCTTGTACCCAGGTACAGAGGATACCATGAGATTAAGTGATGGTAAACCTCCATAACGAAAACCCAGACAGCAATAAAAACAGAAGCACTAACACTCTCCTCACTGGCGGAACTACCAGGGTCGCAGCGGTCGCCCGTGGCCCAGCGAGATTCGGTCCGGCGCCAGCAATGACCGTGTCTTTCTTGCACCGGGGCCCTGAAGGTTCTAGTTACGCCACTGACTCTCCTATTCTATTAAAAACGAAGAAAAAAAAAGAAGAGTTTACTTTTACTGTCCAATTACCACCAATTGGTTGCACTGCTATCAGTTGGCAGGGCAGCCATCAGGGGGGTACAGGTCGATACTCATGTAAGGGGCCCCTGGCAGCCTGGGGGCCCACCCGGGTCCCTTAAATGACTATCGGCCAACGGTGAAGGGCAAGGAGGTGGAGGCCTGGCCCTCGCAGGGCCCCAGCATTGCCGCTCCAGCGGCTTTGAGACAAGCTAGGGCCCCATCAGCGACGCTGCTCGTCTGATGTCAGACTGGCCGGAAGTGATGTCACGTTAATGATGTGACGTCACTTCTGGCCGGTCCAGCGGCAGACGAGGCCATGTGTGCAGGTATGAGGAGCTAGGAAGGAAGGAAGGAAGGAAAGGATGGGAGGGATGCAGCACTGACCAGCCCACCTGAGACCCCTTCAGAGCCCACCATAGACAGTCTCAGATGGGCTGTGCAGCATCTATGGTGGGCTCTGCAGGGTCACTCTCAGGTGGGTGCTGTGTCCAGCGCATCACAAAGCCCTGCGTCCAGTGCGTCACTAAGCCCTGCGTCCAGCGGCACGGTGGGGGGGGCCCGGCCTAAAGCCATGTAAGGGGCCCCAAAATTTCTGATGGCTGCCCTGTCAGTTGGACACTTATTCTAAAATGATCACTGAAATATACTTACACTGCCCGGAGCGTTGTGGACTCAGCATTTTGTCAAGTATAAGATGTACAACGGTTGTGGTGTCATCTGTGCTTTTCCCAAGGCTGTTCCTCAGATATTCCAGATCTCTTTCAATGTGACAAAAAATGAAATTTGTAACATTTTGAATTGGTGGCTTCACAATGCGCATCAGGCTCTGTGAAAAAGCACAGTGCATACAAAAACTATAATCAGCATTTTTACTATATCTTCTCAAGTTAAAGTGGACTTTTACCCATATCTTTAAAATAACAACAAACACACCTTTAGAAATGTTTAGTAATGACAATCTACAAACACACTTCTACATAATTGAAGACTTTGTATTCCTTATTCCTTATAGGTAGACTTTGTATACCTTATTTCTCTTTGCTTTCCCAGTCTTCTGACAGTGGCCATGTTAACAAAGGGCAGATTCCTAGCTCTCCATTTACTTCCTGGATCTCTGGCACATGTGACCAGACATGTGACTAAGACATGTGGCCATGCACATCCTGTCAGTGGAGGAAAATGCCTTTCCCTGAGATCTCATGAGATTACAGATGAGATTTCCCAGCAATGCTCTGCTGATGTAACCTTCCCAAGATGCAACGCTTTGGCACATACATAATTTGAGCCAGAATTGGACCAGGAAGTAGATGAACTCTACTTGTAAGTAAATGAAAAACAAGTTTGTTAAACTAATGAATGTAAGATGACTTTAAGTCAGCATGCAGAGCTGCATGCTGCTGTGATTATTAGGGGTTAAAGGTCCGCTTTAGGTTCTGTAGTTAATTATTTTGTTTCACATTTTGTTAGGAAATGCTCTAAAAGAATAAGAAGTCCAGTAAAAACAACGGGAATATTTCAGATGAATGACCAGACTTATTCTCCATAATAAGGCAAGCAGATCTTCAGAGCAGAGATACGGGTGGCTTCCGTCACAGTATAAGTAAAAGATGGACACTCCAAAGCAAACCCAGTATGTCTATTTATTCACGTACTTATTGCAAATGCAAAACACAAGATACAAGATACAATGTTTCGGGCTCTCACAGGATCCTCTTCATCAGGCAAACAAGTGATGTACCCGAAACGTTGTATCTTGTGTTTTGCATTTGCAAGAAGTACGTGAATAAATAGACGTACTGGATTTGCTTTACTCGTCACTCCAGTGAACACGTCTACACTTCTCTAGAGTCCAGTGGCGGCGTGCTTTACACCACTGCATCCGACGCTTTGCATTGCACTTGGTGATGTAAGGCTGGGATGCAGCTGCTTGGCCATCGAAACTCATTCCATGAGGCTCTCTACGCACTGGTGTTGTGCCAATCTGAACACGACGTTTGGAGGTTGGAGGTCTGTAGCTATGGACTCTGCAGACAATTGGCGACTTCTGTGCACTTCAGCATGTGCTGACCCCGCTCTGTCATTTTACGTGGCCTACCACTTCGTGGCTGAGTTGCTGTTGTTCCCAGTTGCTTCCACTTTGTTATAATACCACTAACAGTTGACCAATATGGAATATTTAGTAGTCAGGAAATTTCACGGAACACCTGAATCCAATGATTTGGAGGGGTGTTCCAATACTTTTGGCAATATAGTGTGTGTGTGTGTATGTATATATATATATATATGTCAAACTCAGCAACTGGCAGTATCTTCACATGATTGTGTTTTATAGTGACGTAGGGATGGTAGATGGAATTGCAGCATGTGGCAGGGGATGCAGGCATCCAGCAATCCCAAAAGTGTGAAATGCTGAAGACTATGTCAGAGGTGGTAACGCTTGAAGACAGAGGAGTTCGGACCTGTTGCCCACTGGCGAGGTGAGAATTCAAAGACTTCTATTGCAGGGACGTTTTGTTCCATTTTTTAAATGACAAGATTAGTTTGCCATTGACTAAAGACAGTTAAGGTGATTTGATCATCTTATACAGAGGCTTCAATGCTTGTTTTTTTCACCTAAATTTGATCCTACCCATAGCTAGTAGTAGAAATAAATTCTGTCAGGTGAGTTTGGGCATCTGAAAGGAACTGCCTATTTTGCTCATAACAACCAAGATTTACCATTTAATATTCAAACCAACATTACCAACAGTCAAAAAAGCATCCTTTGGGCAACAGAAAGGGTTGTTCTTTCAGATACTTGTACATGGGCAACAGAAAGGGTTGTTCTTTCAGATACTTGTACATTGGTCATTTGATCATTATCTATGGGCAGCTTTAAATATTCCCACATGTATAATAATATGTTCAGGCAGACAGGCATGCATGAATGAAAGCTGAAGGATGAATGTCTTTAAGTCAAGCTTGAGACATAAATATTTCAGTGGCCTAAGCCTTTAGATTGATATAGTGGAGCAGGAAGGAGGAGCATGCATAACATTGAGGTTGGTGGGTCTATTCTCAAGGAAAACAGCTAGATTTTCTAACTTCAGCAGTCAATAATTCCACTAATTCTTATATTCATCATACAATCTTTTTCTTGGAGTCCATTGAGGGACACAGGAAGTAATAAATTGTGCTGCCTATAGGACTGAACAATGGCATACAGAAAAAAAAATGTATGCCAGTCCAGGTTAACCCCTCCTTCTCCCAGCATGCTTCAGTTTTGTAGCAACAGTACCAAGAGCATCATCATAACCACAGAGGGGAACCTTTGTCCTTCAATAGACTCTAAGAAAATTATTTTATGGTGAGTACAAAGATCCTATTTTCTCCTCATTCTTCCATTGAAGGACAAAACAATCATATACTGGCAGGATGTCCAAAAGCAGTCCAACTGAAGGGTGGAAAACAACAGACAAAGGAGTAGCCTGTCATGTTTAGTGATGGAGAGTCATATGGGAAATGAGACAGCAGACCTCCAACAACCCATGCACGCTGTAGCTAAAAGCTAAAAGGCATGAGCTCTAAATACTCTATGATCAAGGTATAAACTGACATAGTGATCAGATTCCTTCTGATAGCCTTTGACCAGAGAGTTAGGGTTTGACAGATCAAGGTCACAGCTAAACCAGGTTGCAGAACAGGACCTGCCAGAGAGAACAGGGCTAGAGAGGGAATCCAGTCCTTGAAGGCATATGCATCCTCCACTAGGATGGTAGATGCTTTGATAAGACGAGATGATGTCAGATCCAAGGATTTGGCAAAAAAAATGTTAAGACCTCCTCAAACAGGTACAGGACTGATAGGTGCTTAGGAGCAACATAGCTCAAGGTTCAAGGCAAGGCCTTGACTACTCATGAACCCAACCACTGGAAGCCGGTGTAGGATCAGATGGCCAGGGGAGAACAAGTCACTGTAGCTGGACAGTGGGAACAGACTGAGCATAAGAGCATCACATAGCTCTTGTAAGCCAGAGCAGCAGCATAAAGGTGCTTACTCAGTGCTGAACAATGGGAAAGAGAACACTGAAGGTGCACACAACACTCCATCCAGTGGAAAACAACAGCACTCAATTTTTCAGTGAAAAAGCAGGAAATTTGAAGGAGGTCAGCAGTCCAAATAATGAGATGGTGCTTAGCCTGAACAGCCTTCTTACAAAGTGAGTCTTCAGAGTGCTGAGGCAATGCAATTGCTCTGGACTTGGAAAAAACTCTGCGACTAATTGTTACCATTACCTGATGTCTGGAAAAGCGCCCCAGGTGGAACCCAATGCTTTGGGGTCACTTCCATGCTAGCCCCACAAAGTCCAGCAGGTTTTGGATATAGCATTCCAAAGTCAGGCTGTGGATAGGTTGATCTAGAATGCTGCCATGTAGCAGAAATGTGGTTAGGAAACTTGATTGAAGAAAAATAAAAAGGAAAACATCTAGCAAAAAAGGTTAGACTTTATTCAACAGAGCTAAAGAAAAGATGTCCATCCTCCTAGGAACAAAAACTGAGGCATGATGGGAGTAGCAAGGGTTATCCTGAGCTGGCCCATAGTTTTTTTTGTTCGTCAGTGTCTAATCCTCCTGTGGGCACCAGTATAACCCAACAGTATATGACTTCCTGTGTCCCTCAATGGACGAGAAAGAAAATGTAATTATGGCCGCATATTAGCAAATGTCTCAGCGTGATACCTGCGTATCCTCTTCTGATCCCAGAAGCATTGCCAGATGTGTTATCATCCTTAGTAAAATAAAGGCAGGGGCTGCAATATCTCGGTCTGGAGCCACAGCTGGGCCTTGGCGATCTGGGTCTCCCAAAACATGTCCAGGCTGTGTTCGGTCTACATCCTGCCTGTTATAAAAGAAGAGACATTTCCAAAGCAATAAAAATCATTTAGTTAGGAACATTTTACTAAAAAAAGAAAAGAGCAATGGCTCTAGGCCTGCAAGAGCTTGGTGTCCCACAAAGAAACTTACAAATGAGTAAGATTGGATTGTGAAGCTATTAAAAAGTAATATTTCAGAGCCTGGTACTCTAAGAGGCCAAGATAATACCTATTTTAAAGCTTTGAGCTCTAAAAATGCAATTTAATCCAGCAATGTATTCATTAAAATGGCTTTTAATGTATTTTTAAATACAGAAAGTATAAGGAACAGAATTTGTCTTCATATTAGCTTCTGCTGATGCATTATAATGCACACTGTCCTGTAAATACGGCTTTACTAAACTGCATAGCATTGTTGCTCTAACAAAGGGAACAATGTGGTGATTCTCCTTCATGCTGTCCAAGCTGTATTAAGTACAATGGAGAAAAGTGAGGTTGCAGACCTGGCAGAGGTGCATGCATCACGGACTATCTGTACAGAATCACACATCTTTTTTCAGATAAAGCAGTTCCTATAATTTGTATGTAGCTCCTTGCCTTGAGTTCAGCTTTAAAGAGTAGTAATTAGCTGCTAATAAGATTAATTTTATGAAGTGTTCACATTGATGCCAAACTGGTAATTTCTAGCCAGTAAAAATATAAACAAAAGCACAAGAAAGCAATAATACAGAAACAGTGAAGAAAAAGGCAAAACATACTGAATCCTCTCGAATCCCTGATGGGCTGCATGGTTTTGTCCTCCAATAATGGCACCACAATCCGGACATCGGCCGGTCTGCATTGGCCGACCACACTGTTTAGAAATTATAGCAAATTATGAAAGCATCTTGTGTGAAAATAATTTGTTGCAAAAGATATAAAACAGGTGATTTGGGTGTTATAGAGATAAAAGTATCAGCGTTATTTATTACATATGAAGCAGTGGAGAGCTGGCAAGATTTGGTCAGGGCACAAGGGATATGACCTGTGAATCTATGGCAGATTCATGTATAACCAGTAACTTCCTAAGGGTCTGTGTTGATGGGCATTTGCTCGCTCCAAGTGGGTTTTGCAGGCCCATACAAGTCTATGGTAATGCAAAACCTGTTTAAAGCAGATTAAATGCACGTCATAAGGAGGCAAACTGCAGGTCAAATGCATCTGTCAACGAACTCTGAATGATCTCATAAGCATCTCAAACTAGTATCAAACTGATTCCATTAGCATATGCCCAAAGCCTGATAACACAGGCCCTAGTACACCAAGTAAATATTATTTGGGCCTGTTCTACAGCAACATTCCAAATCAGATTTATGAAGTAATATCCTAATTTGGATGTCCACTGAAGTACACATACGGTGGCTGCAATTATACTAGTTGCTAGACTAGTCACCAGTCTAGTAACCGCACTTATAACTGAGTGCCTGAGAACAGCTGACTGTAATTGATCCAAGGTGAGGATTACTGCTGTGGGGCAATGTGAGCAACTGAACTTGATTTCCTCTTTTAAGCTGTATATGGAGAAAACCCCTTAACACCCTATTGCTTGTTCATCATAAGTTACATTATGATATGCATACTTTGAATTACTGCATACTGACAGAGTGTTCCCAGTCTGCAATGTAATTTAGTGATTGAAGTTTGGGTTTAGATACACTTTAAGGGCTCAGGAAACCTAATGTTCTAAATTCCAAATAGGTCTATTATTCTTAATGTGAACCTATCCCCAGGCCATGCACACTAAAGTGTTTCCATATTCTGAACAAACACAAAATACACTACAAAACAAGCCCCCAGTTATCTCTATACCTGTAAGCATTGCGGAGAAATGTAATTGTCAAAGTTTACAACATAATTATTGAAATTTTAGCTCTTTCCCTAAGACTATCAATCGCACTAGAAACTTGGCAGGCTGCAGACCCTCTAATGTAAACACACAGTGGGAGTTTTTAAAGCTCTTTTGCTGCTTGGTAATAATATATAAATATGAACAGTTAATGTCCATAGTCTAGGCACAGGTGCACTTTAAATAACAAAGCATATACACATATTTTTAAATCAGTGCTATCATACACAGATTGATTAAGGCCTAATATATACTGTATGGGGCAATGCATGGTAACCATTAAGAAATAATTTTATTAATCTGAACAAATACATGTGTTACACTGAACTGCTTCTGACCAAACTAGGTCAGAAGTCATTTGTCACCTATGAATGATTATATATACTCTACCCCCTTCCAGTCTGACAATGGAGCAAGCACAATAGTTTGTAGGTGGCTCAATGTTCATGGTACTCCTTTGGCCTTGCATTCTTTCACTGTTTGACATTTCTCTAAGGAACATTCTCACTTGTATCCACATCAGAGCATCCCCACCCGTTTCACAGCAGAATCCCCCCTTTCACATCATGAGATCAGGAGCACTCTCTTTCTACATCAGTCACCACTTCTCACACAAGGAACCCCCCTTCACATCCGAGCACCTTCCTTTCACATCAGAGTTCCCCCTTTACATCACAATCCCCTCTTCACATCACAAGCCCTTGCTTTACATCAGGAGCCCCCCTTTCACATCCAGGTCATCCCTTTACATCAGAAGCTCTCTTTACAATCAGAGTCCTACCATCACATCAGGAGCAGCAGTTGCGGCATTATGGCATAGAACGGTAGACCGAGCATGCCTGGAAGGAGGCAGCCTTCCGTCCTTTTCTGAATGGATTCCCCCCTTCCTGGATTAGTGTCACACATTTCCATGGTGCTGGCAGCCAGCATACCTGCACCTTAGAAAGGCATGACGCTGTGAAACACATTTGAGGCATCTCTGAGTAAGTGAGAAGGTGCCCACCTTGGTTGGAAGTCACCTTGCTTGAGAAAGGCTACTCTTATTTGTAAGAATACACCAGCCATGTTAATATTTACCATAACTGTAATGTGTGCAAAGTAGGGATGCACAAATACTTTTCGAGTACCAGTGCAGATACTTGGCATTTGCATGAGAACTACCAGGGTTGCAGCGGTTGCAGCTGGGACCTGGCTCTGGCACTCCACCACTGTCCTGAAATCATTAGTCTGTATTGTTTTAGAAAAACTGTCACATGACAATAAACAAAAATGTATCAGTACTCGTACTTGTAAGTACTCGGCAAGTACCAGTACTCGTACTCGCAAAACTGGTATCTGTGCATCCCTTTATTTTAGGGCTGGTAATGATTACAATTTTCCTGTTCGATTAATCGAAATTGTTTTTAATCGATTCATTATAACGATTCCTATTGGCTATTTCACTTTGCAATAGCCTATAGCAAACTAGCTATTGCACCCGCCCCCTGCTGCTTTCAATCACCAGAAGAGGACCTGATAGAAAAATTCAGGTCCCCCTCTGCTGATTGACAGCAGCAGTGGGCGGGTACATTACCTAGTTTGCTATTGGCTATTGCAAAGTGCAATAGCCAATAGGAATCTAGCTATGCAATTGTATGCCTTTTTTTTCTTTTCTGACTGACGGTCGGACCGTGGCTCCCGATGTCAGAAAATATTTTTTTTAAAAGATCGCAGGGAAAGGTCTAATCTGCTCGATTGAGCAGATTAAACCTTTCCGGTAAAAAGTGTTTCTCTCCCGGCCGGGATGTGTACTCACCGGCCCAAGCCGGGAAAGTTAGCCTACGGGTCTGTTTTTGAGCTACAGAACTTATACAATATTGAAACCTATTCCATCAGTCATAGAGTATAAAATAGCACATTATTTAGCCAGTAACTGTAAACAATTCCTTTTTTTTCTAAATAAATTAAGACCTTTTGAAAAGACAAGGCAGCATAAGTTGACATCAGCCTATCTTGATTGAGCTTCTGATAATATGGATTTAGTGAATTCACACATATTGATTTTCCGGGTAACAAAGGGACTCCTCCCCCCTTCCCTTCGTTAGCCGACAGCCACTTATGGAAGGGGGGAGGAGTCCGGTGACGTGGATGTCCATGACGTCACCGGATCTCCGACGGAAGACCCGGAAGGCGGCGGAGAGGTGAGTATGGATCAAAATAATTTTGATCGATCAAAAAAATTTACGATTAATCAAGGGATTAATCATTCATTTTCGCAGCCCTACTTTATTTATATTTATAAAAACAAAATCATACATTAAAACAGAGATGTACAAATCCCAGGAGCTCCGTGTGCTCCTTACAAATGACAGCTGCCTCCTAATTTTTGAATTTTTCTCTAGTGTAGTCTTGGAGCTCAAAAGTATCGGTACATGTACTTGTACTTGTACTGAGTACTGTACTTGGTATCTGTGCAACCCTAGTGCAAAGTGATGTATGCAAAGCTTAGCTTACCTCTCCAACAGCACAGTAGTGGCCATTGGGACAACCTGTAAGAAGATAAAGTAACATGTTTATACACTTAAAGTAGATCTGCATGCAGAATATAAAAAAAAACTTTTAAATCTAGCATACAAAAAAATGCTTCAATGTAATTTTAAACAGTAGTATTATTGGGTTTTATGTCCATTTCCACCTTCTGTAGCTTCATGCACAGCAATCGTAAAAAAAAAAGGGGCAGCACTGTACTGCTGATAGGAGCACAGAGTGAGTTTCTGCTTGTTTGTTATCAATCTATTTACAGGGTGGGTATTCCAACTTTATAATTAGCTGTTCTGCCTTAAAAGCGATTTAGGTTTGAGTCTGCTAGGGCTGCTAACATTACATCCAAGATGGTGGCCTCCTGCAGCAGTCTCACAGAGGGACGCTTTTACAGTAAAAAGAAATGCCTAAACTATGTTAAATACACATATAATCTTACAAAAAGATTGTTTTTAAAATGAATGATCAGGACACAGGATTTTTTTAAGCATCCCTGCTGCACTGATATACAGACAATTTTTGGTCAGCTGGGTTGAGTACTGGTCCCGTCCCCAGCATATTAGGGCACAGCGGCATTGCAGGCACCATTGGTGCTTTCAATTAGAAAAAGACCTAGCGTACAAGCATCCTGAGGTGCCTTACTACATGCTGAGGCCAAGGTTGCTCTATGGGCAAGCCATCCAAGCATTAGCTGATATTTTGTATGGCCTGGATCAATTCCATCATGAAGGACATTTACAGTATCCAAAATTATCAGTGAAAAGAGTATACTTACGATACCAGTGCAGTTTTCTCATTACATTTTTAGCTTTGGAAAGCAGATCCTCTGGCATGGTTGGCAAGAAGGAGTTCTTAAAACAGGATAAAAATAAATATATATTTATATGGCTACTTGAACTTCAAATATAAGTAAACCCTCCTATAATATTTATGTCCTAAAGTAACATATTAATGATGAGGGATTTCTGTTTTTTGTTAAATCCTACTACATTTAGATGAGTTCACATAATCGCGCCATACATGGCGGCACTCTGGGCTGCCTTCCAGTTTCTGCACAAGGAGGACAGTCTCAGTGGCAGCCGGAAAGGTGAATGTCACCTTTTTTTTTAATTCAATTGTTTTTTTTTTATAGTTTTTTGTTTTCCAATACAATTAAACAGTCAAGTATAGCAGGTGTTTATAGATGTAAAATATGATACAGGGTAGGATCTATGCTTTACCTTAGGGTACATATAGTGAACACATCTGCCAAAGGGATCGCTGCAAACAGTAACAACATGTAGCAGCTTTCAGTAGGCTGAAGTTACAGACCGTAAATCCAGTGCAACTAAGTAACGTGTATATATGTATATATATATTTGTATATAGAATCTAACATAAGTAAAAGTAAATGGAAAAAAAAAACCCCTCTATCACCCCAATCAGGCGTAGTGGTGAGGAGGGCCAGGGAAAGGTTGAGAGCGGGATAGGAAGGGAAGTAGGATAGAGAAGGAAAGTAGAGGTGAGAGTGAGGTGCTGAATGTCACCTTAAAGTGACATTAAACCCTCAGTTTTTTTAACATAAAACAATAGTGTAATGTGTGCCTTACTGTAATCCATGGTAGTTTCCCTTCTCTTTGCTGCTATTCCTTTTAAATCTATATCTGTTCTCATGCTGGACAGAACTTCTGTTTTGCAGCAGATTGCCTTGTCTCTGAAAGAGATACATGGTGTCTATGTGTTGGTTTGCAACCTGAGCCAGCACTACAGGAAGAGGCAGTCAGCTGCAAAGGGAAGTTCTCCCCAAGCATGAGAAGACATGAGGATTTAAAAGGAAGAGCAGCAAAGAGAAGGGAAACTACCATGCACTGGCGGAACTACCAGGGTGGCAGCGGTCGCAATTGCGCCACTTGGTGGGGCCCAGCAAGGAAGTAGAGGGCCCCCCGCGATCGTGCCGCTCCTTCTTTGTCACACAGCCACCCACAGCATGTACGGGCGGCTGTGCGAAAGGGCTGGAGACGCTGTCACTGATCCCGGAGAATGAGCTGGTCCTCTACCATGGATTACAGTAAGGCACACATTACAGGTGGTTTATGTTAAAAAATCTGAGGGTTTAATGCAGGGGTCCTCAAACTACGGCCCGCGGCCCACATCCGGCCCATAAGGGTCCTTAACCCGGCCCGCTCCTGGCGGTGGGTTGTGGGCGATGAGATGCGGGTGAAGGGCGGCGGGTGACAGGCACCGGGTGGCGCTGTCTTCACTCCCTCCCAGCGGGCCGTCACCGCTGCATCAGATGCGGCTCTCTAATTGGGCCGCCGCTCGCTCCTCAAGGGGGTCCTTAGGAGGCCCCAGCGGGCAGACCTCTACGATGCCTGATTAGAGGGCCGTGTCTGCCTAATCCAGACAGCCCAGATTGCATACGAGGCAATCAGGCATTGTAGAGGGCCGCCCGCTGGGGCCACCTAAGGACCCCCCTGAGCAGCGAGCGGCCGGCGTAAATGCATCCAGTAGGTTGGTCTCTTGTCTTCTTATTACATTGTTCCAGGGTCTCTGTATCTGCTCTATGAAAACGCCTGTATACAGAGCTTATTACTTCAGTTCACAATGTAAACTCATAAATTTAAAATGCTAATCAGAAAAAAATAACAACAATGCAAACAACCTAACGTACCTGCATTCTAGCAGATAAGAATGAGAGATTTTTTAATGGTGCCAAAAGATGGTTATTTCCAGATAAAAGAATGGAGGCCAAGTGTACCGCTAATCCAAAGATTGTGACATATGACCCTCTCATGCCGGGGAGCGCTCGGAGAACTGGCCGGCTGTTGGTCAGTAGGGTCTCCAAAAACTGTTTCAGAAATCTGTCCTTGAAAATGTTGGCATTTTTTATAAAATCCATCACAGACTCCTGTTCCTGCATCAGACATATTAGAAAAGGTATTGTTTAATTAACTGTGCAGTAATAATTGGCTGTGAAAAGTTAAAGTAAAATATGCAGCAGCTGTTCACTGTGTATTGCAAACAATAAAGCAGGGAAACGTTGTAGTTAATTTTTAGTGTTGGCATCGCCAGCTACTTATACTTTCCTTCCGATAGTTCCCCCAGTGCTCCGTTTGTGATATATCCTGTATTTTTAGGTGGGGGGGAGGGGGGCATGGGACTCTCCTTTCTCACATTAGACAATGCTGATATCTGGAAATGAAGGCAAACAGAACTTACACATGGGGATATAGAGAGAGAGGCCTCAGCCCTGTGTATGCCCCAAATTACTTTTCTCCTCCCTCCTGTAGGTGAATGGGGTAGTAGGGCATTAAAGGTAAGATAAGTATAATCAGCTGCAGGGACTGGCAGAACCAGTTTGTCAAAGGATTTCATTAAAGGTAACCTTTCCAAAGGTCCACTTTAAGGATAACTGCTCCTTTGTGGTGAAAATAAAAATGAAATGCTATGCTGTTCCATATTGTTTATTCAATATCTTCAGTGCCAGGAGCCATAATGTGAATCAGAGGCTACAGAAAGAAAACATTCCCTGCAAAAAGAATTTGCCTTGATATATTAAAGAAGCTTATTTACTTGAAAGTACAGTTTTACGTCAAGCATCCAGTAACATCTATATTGACAGGATATATTTCATGCTATTATATTTAGGTTCTCTTGCGGTATTTATATTCAAGATACATTGGTGCATACTTGAACATCTTCTGTTTACACTCTCTTGTGATGGATCCCTTTTTAGAGTGTGTACAGATACGCAATACATGTTATAAATAAAACAATAGGAAATAAATCAAACCACAGACACTTGTAGTTTAGCACATTATCAGACTACTTACAAGTGCTGTGTTTTGTTGACCATTATTACAGACCGCATAGGGCATGGTTATTTCTCGGAATACAGCGAGCAGGAGGTGGACAGCCAGTTTTTGATCCAGGTTTTTACATTCCTTTAAAAAGAAGCACAAGACAAATATTGTACAGCGCTAATAAGTTCAGAAATAAATCAGAAATCCCAACTAAAGGCAGTAATCAGAAATAAGTAAGATGATATTTAGGGCCATAAGCTTTAAGAAGAGACCTTTGCAGTTCTATGCAGCAGTTTTTTTACACCCCTGAAATGAAAAGTGGTTGGTGCACAGTCCAATTCAGGGAGTGGTAATTGCTGTCTGTAAGAATAGTTCCTACACACCTGAGCAGTTCAGTTGAGGCTCAGGACGGAAGGGCATAATAACTCAAAGAGGGGCTCAGGAACTGAGTGGGTCCAAGATTCTGGAAACCTGTAATGTCTCTAGCAGTACTGTGGACAAAGACAGGGAGTAACCAGAGACCAACAAGTAGTCTGTGAATTCAGTTTAAGTATATATATATGTGGCATTGTGAGGCAATACCACGGTGTTAGGTGGCCTCAAAGTCACCCAGGGTTCTCAGCCAGATTGTCATGTGTCGAGAGGCAACAGGAAGTCAGAGAAAATCTTCCCCAAAGTGTGATTTGAGCCTATAAAGTGGAAGCCTGCTTTACAGGCTCAATCCTCCAGCACTTACTTCATGAACAAGGAGTAGGGGATCTCTCTACCCTTCTACAAAGAAGGATATTTCTCAGAACACAAGCAGACTCTCTGTTGTCCCTTTTCAAATTCCCTGTTAGAGCTCAAAATCTTGATCAGTTAGGGTTGGCAAAAAAAGGGAGAGATATGCTGAACCCACAGGGAGGCAGGAAGATTTGTGATTTTCTAACAGAGTTTTTAGTCAAAACTGTGTGATGGCAGCAAATTCTGCTAACACTCCACTGTAACAACATGTGGTTGGTAGATGCATTATTGTAATATTAAATGTAATAGTAACAATATATGACAAACCCAAGTCTGGAAAGTACTGATGCACAGAACAGGTGGACCGAAAAGCTAAACTCCAGGTATACAACCAAATAACTGAATTACATATATGTGGACTGTTCTAACTTCTCATTTTCTACAGCCAGGTTTGTAATTGAGGTACCCATGCCTGACAGAATAGCCACATCCTCAAGCTACCATTGCAGTACAATTTAGTTAAGCTAACCAGTCAAATTACATTTCCAACCTGCTAACTGGACAATGGAGGAGCATCAGCACACCGATGAGGTCATCTTTCTTCTTCTGCTCACTCCTCCTGTTAGCAGATTTACTGTCATTGCAGTAGAGCCTTAATAGCACTTTGACTTTGTCTCCCCTGGCCTGAATGTTGCTATGCAAGAAAGGACAGGTGGCTGATATCAAGACAAGGTGCCTCCAATAGCTACTGTACATTCATGAAGCCAATGTGCTTCCAATAGGCACTGTACATTCTTGAAGGAAATGTGCTTCCAATAGCTGCATTTAAAAATACATTGCATTATTTTCTGTTTTTCAAGAAGTTATAACTGCCTAACTGTTTTTTAGATCTGCCTGGAATTCAGCTTTGATTAAATATATTAGGATATATGAAAGGATATATAAAATAAACCTGGGATACCTCCATGGCAGTTGCAATCCTTTCTTCTTTGCCTTCCATCATTGCTCTGCTTATACCTTCCCTCAGTACTTTGTAACTTTCTCTACACACCAAGAAATGGTCAATGTGATTTGTCTCAGTGTCCTGCAATAACAAACATGGCACCCACAGGGTAATGAACGTCAAGATTATTTAACATATACAGTACATTGTATATTTCATCTACTGTTCTACATTTTCAAATATTATTACACACTGAGAAAAGGATGACAAATAGCCTTGACAAAATAACACAATCAGGTCGGCTTACTAAAGGAGTAGAACATTTTCACTTTGCAGGGTGAATGAGGTGAATCTGTGGTGATTTCAACCACGTGTGCTCAAAAATCCCTTTTTCTTGTTCTGTTTTTTCTTGTTTATTTTCCTTGCACATGACTGGGTAATCTTTGCAACGTGAATTTCCGGTTTGCACCACTTTATTCACTAAGCTAAGTGAAAAGTCCATTGGCAAAGTGGGCATTCTTTAGTGTCTAAGTAAATCAACCCCATTTGCTAAACTAAACTTTTGCTTAACTAAAAAGCAGTAAAGAACTGCAACTGTATTCCAATACCGTGGCACAGAACTGCCTGTTTAATGGATTTCTATGCAGTGGAATTCTAGCCATTTTTTTTTACTTTTTAGGCCACTTCAGGTATTTGCATTGTGGTAAAACAATGCATTTTGTGTGATACAACAACACAGATACCATGATGTGCTGCGTTGCTGTTTATTTTAAATGGGATACCAATGCACTAAAGCAATGCACCCTTTGACGATAAAGCATTACCATGTGTGCATTGCTTGTACAGATCACTGCATCCTCTGTAGAGGTGTTGGGAGCCAGAATGTGATGTCACTCCGGTCCAGGCACCTCTACAGGACACGTGAGGGAGCTGTAAGCAATACATGTATGGATGGAGCCATAGCCCCATCCCACCTCAAGCTGACACTCGGCGCCAGGCAGCATATTTTGAATCGGTGCTTGGCACAAGAACTAACAGTGCAGCGCTGGCGGAGGCTGAGGAGCCTCTCACCTAGAAAAGAGGAAGGCATGTGGGGACCCACTGAACACCAGTTGAGAACCAAGGTGTTAAATGATACTGTTGTTTGTGTTCCCGTTGGGAGCTTTAACCTCACAGTCCTCACTGACAATGGCCTCCTGGTAGGAAGTGAGGTGAATTTTTTAAAATGGCCCACAGAGAGCGATACAGACACTTAATTTAATAAGGGAAATAGTTCACAATAGAGATAAGAAAGAGAAAAAAACAAAAAACAGGCAGGTTCTAACCCCTTTCTACTCTATTCAAAACTTAAAATGTATCTAAACCTAAAAGCCAACTTGCTTTTTTCCCTTTCTGCGAATAGCACACTTTTTGTGCTAAGGTGACATCTCTGATTTTTTTTCACTGCAACTACTGTGTAAAGGGGTCGAGCTGCTACCCTAAACTGTTCTTCTGATTTAGACTACAAACCTTTCTCCATTACACAGAGGGGAGGTGTTTTGTAGCTAACTGTAAAGCTAATATCACTGTTTGAGATTTTAATTCGGTGCACAGGTTACAAGGACACAAGATTTCTGTACTTGCAGAGAATGTAGTTAACCTAGAATAAAAGAATACTAATGCAGCCACTACATCTAAGGACTGTTAAGCTGCAATATCTACAATTTCTAGTTTTGGGTTTGGATATACTGCCACTTTGAAAACTTAGGTACACAACAATCCTCCTTCTCTCCATAGTTCAAGCAATTCATTTATTAATTTTTTTGCATTGCAACATATAATTTTTCCCTATGTGGCCTGACATTAATATACTTAAGATCTTTTTGGTAGCAGCTTTTGATAATTGTGGTTCTGTACCTTTTCCCAATGCAACATTCATGAAATTGCAGCAGCCACAGATATTTACCCAGAAAAGATAAAAAAGGTATTTTGATTAATAGGATATCTCATAAGCCTTTTTTACAACATAGCAGTGCCAACGCTCATAGTCAAAGTGTGCTTTTAATTTAGCAGAGCTTTTTTTTCCATTTGACCATTATACTGGGACACAAGAGAAAATTAAAGATATACTGCCACCATGCCCATGCAGAGCATAATGATAGTGTCCCTACAAATGACACCCCTTATACACATCGACCTGCACTCGGTTGCCACTCCATCCTCCTGAAATCAGTGATGCTGGCCACTCACGTGACGGTGCTCAGGTGTAGCAATCAACTAAGCCCGGGAGATGTAACTTCAGGATCAGAGGACTTCCAGAGTCGATTACTGATCTAGAAGTTACGGTCAGAGTATTTTTAAAAGATATACTTCCTGATATAGCTGACCATAAGCTAGAATTAGACAGGGTCCACAGGGCGTTTATTGCACCTCGCCCTGATGGCCCAGCCCGGGACATTCTTGTTAAAACGCATTACTATCAGACTAAAGAAAGGTTGATGGCTAGAGTCCGGAATATCCCAGATTTACAGATGGCATCTCATCCGATATAAATCTTTGCGGATATTTCCCCAGTTACTATCCAGAAAAGGAGAACCTTAAGGCCCCTTCTTCAAACCTGATCAAAGCATGCTATTAAATATAGATGGGCCTTTCCACTACGAGTACACTTCTTTTTTAAGAATAAACCTTATTCCTTCGCTACTTTGGCAGAGGGTGAAGCGTTGCTCTTACAATTGGGACTGTCTGTAACAGAACTGGCACAACAAGGCAAAAACCCCCCTCAAGCTGCTACAAACAGAGGAAGTACAACTGCCCCGCTGTCACCACTTTGGGATCGACCAAACTCACGCTCTGTAGCCAGACCACTCCGGAGTGAGGAGAGCCCATAGAGGACAGAACAGTTTTGCCTCAATTGAGAACTACATGTCCTCATAGGAGAACTGGTTCATATTTTATATTATTAAACGGGTTAGCTATGTCCTGAATAGAACTTCTCTTTTATGTTAAACCAGATGGTATTTGGGTACACTTTTTACTGTAACCTGGCCTGATTCAGGGCGGTGGGATTGCGGCTCGTTTGGGCTGGATTCTGCTCGCCTTTGACTTTATCCTGGGGGAGGTCCCATCCCGCTCTGGAGGGACCGGTTGGGCGGACGCCAGTGTGCGTAGCCCAGGGCTGGAACTGAGGACCCACAGCCGAATCCCACTATTAACTTGCAATTGAATAGGGGATGGGTTTTATTAGAGGGTGGTGGGAGACACCAAGGGTTTTTTGGGGTATGCACTAAGCACATGGCGGTAGATTTAAACTCATTAAAGAGTGATAGGATTTTGGAATAAATAATTTTTTCTCTTAGTGACTTTTTGGACAAGCCACATTTTATTGAAGTGCACAGAGCTAAAGCACTTACCTATTTAGAGGGGAAGGACGAGACACTAATTAGAGTAATATTCACTATGTATTTTTAATTTGAAATTAAGTAAGGTATGGAGTTCACATATTGAATTATTTCAATTAATTGTAGTAATCACATAATAAATATAAAGGGATGACAATAGGTCATCTTAGAAGACTACTGTTACATATACTGGGGAATAACTTATTATTTTTTGGTTTTATCATGAACAAAAATGTCACTTGTTCAGATGATGTCCACTTTTATGGGGGGGAATGGGGTATATTTGGTGGAGGGCCCGATTTTAATTGCGAGTAACAGGGACTTGACCTGTAGACACGGATACAAGTTGTGATACCAGCTAGTAGTTACTCAATTAAGAAGCTCTGGCTAAAGGTGCCCATACACTGCTCGATTCTCGTACGAGAATCGCGGGAAATCCCGCGATCGTACGAGAATCGAGCAGTGTGAACGGAGACGTGCGACCGTTTCTACTGTACGGTCGCACGTCTTCCGTCGAACCAGCATGTTTGAAAACCAGCCGGGAATCGTACGATTCTCGGCTGGTTAGAACGGTGCTCGGAAGACAAATGCCGAACGGGCCGGTGTGCGCACGCGCACACTGCCCGATCAGCATTGCGGTCATCGGAAGCCCGCCCCTCAGGGGGGCGGGCTTGCGATGATCGAGAGTGCGATCTGCCTGTCCAAGATAGGCAGATCGTACGTTTTTTTTAATCCCTGTACAACCATCGCAAGACTAAGGTCTTGCGATGGTTGTAGAGTGTACGGCCACCTTAAGATTGATGATCTTGAGAATTGATCTCGGAGAGGCAACTTCAGGACTAGATGATTATCAGAAATTCTTTTTTTGTTGTTTTCCTTTCTACTTTTGATAAGGGAGTTTAATCATGAATTGCTTTGGGTGTAATTAAAATTATGTGAACAAATGGTTTTTTAAAGGGATTGAGTGATTAAATGGTTATTCACAGTCAATTTATTATGCCTATAACAAAATATTTTAAAGGTGATTTAAGGTGTTTAATTAGTTAGATGAATGGTCATTATTAGTCACTAGGTGATAACGATTAATGTGAAATTTAGATTTAATGAGTCTATTTTGATCACTTAACATTTGGTATGTATTAGGTAGAAATTAAAACATTGAATAGGAACCATGGGATATTATAAATATAAACCTAATAATCTAGCTGTTATTTGAATTATATGATTGAGGTATAGTAGTCTGGAATGTTTAGCTATTTTGGTTTCTCTTGATCAGTTTATGGATGCAGAGTTTTAGATCATATTGTATTAGAGGAAAGAATAGTCGCTTGTGGGGTTTTTCTTTTTTGTTTTTTTACATATCTGGGGCGGGGTAAGGCTGCCGATGGTAGTCGTTCGCCTCCACTTGACTCGACCATTGGGGGTTTCCCCTGTTCGCGCCAAGTGAGCTACCCACAATGGGTAGCGTTTAAATTAGGGCTCATTGTATGTTTTTTGTTGTATGGTCTTGTGTTGTGTTTCTTTCTGTCCTTTGCTCGCTCTAATTTTCTTTTTCTCTCTTTCTCCCCCTTTTTTTTTTTTTTTTTTTTTTTTTTTTTTTTTTTTTTTTTTTTTTTTCCTTCCCTTTGTTCTCTTTCTCCCCCTTTTTTTTTTTTTTTTTCTTTTTTTTTTCTTTTTTTTCTCTTTTTTTCCCTCACCTTGGGTTTTTTTTATTTCTCTTGTTTACCTGGTTGTGACTACCCATATAGCGGGATTTTTTGCCAATTCCGTTTTTTGCATGTACGCTCAAGAGGACAGTGTATTTGGTATGTATTCCCAAGAGGATCATCTAATCGTAAGCCTCCATGATGGCGACAGGTAGACCCTTTATATTAGCGACACACAATACTAAGGGCCTTAATTCTCCAATCAAGAGACGCACGGCTTTTAACCACTACCACTCTCAGCATGTGGATGTGGTGTATCTGCAGGAAACACATTTCTCTAGATGCTATCAGCCTAAGTTCCTTCACAAGCACTATCCACAGTTCTACCTAGCCAATGCAGCTGATAGAACTAGAGGAGTGGCGATTTGTTTTTCTAAAGCCGTGACTTTTCATCTTGAATTGGAGCTTAAGGACCCTGAGGGTCGATACCTGCTAGTAAGGGGATACATTGAGGACCACCTGTTTACATTTATTTCCTATTATGCTCCCAATACCGCTCAATTAACATTTTTTCATTTAATGCTGAAAACCCTTCTCCCTCATGTATCGGGTAACCTGATATATGGGGGCGACTCTAATATTGCATGGGGAAAAACGTCGAGCTAAGCGTGCATCCAAGTTGGGCACGGGTTTAGCCAGGTTATTACAGTTCCATTCTTTGATTGACGCTTGGAGAGAACTGAACCCCAGTGCGAAGGATTATACTTATTATTCCCCAGCTCATTTGAGTTATTCGAGGATTGACCATTTTTTTGTCTCCCCCTTGGCGGTGCCCTTGATTGCCTCCTCTAAAATTAAAGAAATACCTTGGTCGGATCATTCTATGGTTCTCTTATCACTGTCACATATGAGAGACCCAGATAGATCCTTTTGCTGGAGACTAAACGAGTCACTTTTGAGTGACCCGGTGCTGTGCTCCATGTTGGAATGTCAACTCATCTCTTATTTCCAATTTAATATCATGCCAACTGTGTCCCCCATAATGATTTGGGCGGCACACAAAGCAACTATTAGAGGGTGGCTAAATTCACAAAGCTGTAAGGACATGGCTAAGGACCTTTGTTTTTGCCATGTGAATTACATTTTTAAATCTCATTGGACATGGACGCAACTTAAAAAGCAGTCTATTTGAAAAAAAATAAACGGTTGTTATCCCGGTGTGCCAGCTGTGTGAAATGAGCCTAAAATACATTTGGCCAAACTGTGCCATAAAAACTTTCTGATAAGTTAGTGAAAAATGCATAGGAATGTAAACAGAGAATGCAAAAGGCTCTTGTAAAAATACACTAATATGTTTATTTTTTATGTTTGCAATATACGGTATTCCCTTTACATGAACAAAGATTTAACAAAATTAGCTAACAGCATATCTAAGCTCAAAAACCAAAATGTAATATATTGCAACTTCCCTTTTTTATGAGGTTGCTGCATTAGTTTTCATTTTTCATGTTTTAAATTGTTTTTATTTATACCTGATTGGCCTGCAAATAACGCTCTTCCTGTCCCTTCTTGGCTATGCTCATTTCTCCATTGTATATATGCGTGCAACCATAGTTGTCGCACAGGCTAGACTTCAAACAAGTCTACCTTTGATCATCTCCATTACATGGTGTATTAGTGAGAGTAGTCGTTTACGCAAGAAAGATAAGGAGGTTTGTGCTTTCTTTTACGCTCACAGCAAGTGACAAGGACGCTGCATTCCTGGCATGATTAACATGTATTTTCTGTTAATAATGAATCTAGGGAGCAGTAAGCTGTCATTTATTATATTTTTGTTGTTGGGTTTAGATACTTTTTAATGTATTACCTTTTTCTGCAACATTTCTTGAGGGAACAGCCACCTGAATGCAGGATCTTTAAAATGTCTTTGGACCATGTCTATGCCCTCCAGGTTAGCCAGTTTGCGTATTAGATAGACTCTGTACCAATCATTGCCAGACTGGGAGCATAAATCCTCCACACATCTCAGGTACTGTTCATTTTTGGATCCTGAAACAAAAGTCCAATATTAAGTAATAAACTAACTCAGTAACAATGCTACACAGCAAGACAGTTCAATAGCCAGGATCAGTAAAGTGACCCAATTGTACAATAAAATCACCGAAATATGACAGAAAAGCAAGGTAGTATTTACATTATTCAAATCAGTCATCAGAGATAAAATTCCAGCAGGGAGGAGATAAAATTCCAGCAGGGAGGAGAGAAGCTATCAGGAGGTCGAGCGGAGAAGAGACAGCTGTCCGGAGGCCGAGCAGGCTGGTAAGGAGAGGAGAGAGCTGTCCGGAGACCGAGCGGGGCAGGAGGAGAGCTTGCCCTACTGTGACAGTCATGATGGAGAGCGAAGCACAAACACTCAGCGATCAGTACTAATAGCTGAGTGTATGTAAATAACTGAAGGTATAGTAAGCTTACTGTGTCCCTAAATAGAAAAGTTTGTGAAAAGGACACCGCTCATATTTCCATGCCCAAACTCATTGGTCCCAACCAAAAAGCTGGGTGCTGGCTGACAGAGGCATGCCATGGCTGTCACTAGTAATCCAATGTATTTAAAGTCGATATGATTAAGCCTTTTTGCCGACTCGTCAGAGCCTGTAGATCTTCTTATGCTTGTACCGTTGTAGATTCCTGGGAATAATTTGTTTCACATCAAGGTCCTCGCTGTTGAGTGCAACTTTAAATAAATTGGGTTAGTGTGTCCCCAGTTATAAATGAACAGGAAGTGATCTACATCACTTCCTGTTCATTCATGATTGTGGACATAGTAACTGATACTCTTCAGCTTATGAGTGGAAAGGAGCACTTAAGGTGGCTATACATTGTGCAAATTTTGGCTGATACTTGAGGATCCCTCGATCAACTGATTGAAGGAGCTGGCTGGAAAATCTTCGTTTGATCAGAGCCAATGAGCTGCTGGCTCTGTTCGGGTATTGTGACAGGGGCCAGAGGCAGAATACAATGCAAAAAGCAGGATTTCTCATTCAAAACACTTGTAGTGTTGATAGAGGAATCTGCTCTATTTTTACTTCATGGGCTCTATCAGCCCGTGGGTTGAATGAGAAAAATAGAGCAGTGTATGGCCAGCCCTAGTATAGAGGCTTCCTGTTCATTCATAACAGGGGCTGCAAAAAAAGAGATTTAGGACTCAATCTCCTCAATGTCTTTTTCTATTTTAAAAGGGAAATATCCCCAAAGCCCCTAAGAGTAACGTAAAGAAAATAATAACAATAAAAATAAAATAATTTTTTTTTTTTTAAAAGGTTGGAAAAGAAAAGTAAAGTAATTTTCGGTTTTGGAATGACAAATTTGTAAATTTCAGTTTTGGTCTAAAAAAATTATTTCAGTGCATTCCTAGTAGTATTAATACATATATTGCGCATATTATATGAAAAAAATCCATGAAGTGTTGAAAAGACTTTGGTCATAAATTAGTTTTTGCATGTATTTTGTAAGATCAGCAACAGGCTCATTCCTGGCATTCTGTGGTATATTAAAGAAGAACTCCAGGATTTTTCAAATTAACCCTTTCGCTGCCACCGACGTAAGGCTTACAGTGGAACACAACTGTTTGCAGCTGGCCACGTCGGTGGCTTTCACCTTCCTGCTATAAGCTCATGGTTATGGTCACTTTAGAGACCATTCATTTATATCAGAGCGCTAACCACAACGATCCCCTGTAAAATAATAGCTGTTATCAGCGGCTGACAAGCTGTCTTTAGGATATCTGTTATATCTACCAATCCTCTGTGTGCAGTACAAACATTGGAGTGATTGCTGATCAACAGGGGACACATGGGGCAAACAATACTACTATGTGAACCCAGTTATGAATGATCAGGAAGTGCTTTACATCACTTCCTGTTCATTCTTGCATTTCTGAATGGGTAGAGGCACTCAGTACAGAGGCTTTTACCCATTCATAACTTGTTGATAGTAAATATTTACTATCTCCAGTTTGTGAATGAATGGGAAGTCTCTGTACTGAGTGCTTTCCATTCATTCAGTGCTGAGACTGCAGAAAAAGAGATTGAGGACTCTGTGTCCTCAATTTCTTTTTCTATTTCAAAAGGGAAATGTCAGGGATATGTTTAGACCCCTAAATACACACGCAACACTATGCACCATACTGTGGTGTACGCCATACACATGTGCTGCGGTGCGTTGTTAGAACGCATCGTATTGCTTCATTTTTTCTCTTTTTAAAATAACATTAATTTAACTCTGATACGCTGTGTTGTGATGAAATATACACCTGAATCATTTTATCACAACACGAACAAACACAGCGCACAAACAATTTTTAACACAAGTCGCTTATTTACATTTTTGCATTCCTTCATTTTTTTACTGTTTTCGCAAAAAGACGCAATTTAAAATTCACAAATATTTGTTATTTAAAGACTGTATTTAACTCAAAACAGTTTTATCTTTTAGATTTAGTCAGAAAATAATTTTTTTGTGCACCGATACCGATTTTAGTGTATTTTTTCAGTTGAATTATGATTTGATAAACAATTGCGAAATTATCGCAGGACCTACAAAATTAGCAGCACCATCTTTTTATTCTACTGGGCCCGTGCTTTTAGAAAAGATATGGTTTGGGGAATAGGTGCACCAAAATAGAAATGTCAAAATTGAAACGAAACCAAAATAAAAAAATTGTCAGGCCGAAACCGAAAATGTTTTTTATTTTAATTTTTTCACATTTTTCAAATATTTTATTGTTATTTATTTTACATAAACGTTTTAATTTTTTTATTTTTATTTTATTATTCATTTTTTATTAAATATTTTTTTTTTTCACTTTACTTTTAGGGGCTTTGGGGAAATATTGGGGGTCTAAACAGATACCTGATATTTCCGTTTTAAAATAGAAAAAGAGATTGAGGACACAAAGTCCTCAATCTTTTTTCTGTATCCCTGTTATCAATGAACAGGAATCCTCTGAGTTTTGCCGTTCATTCATAACTTGAGAACATTGTGTGTTTACTATAACTACAACTATGAATGAACAGGAGGTGATGTAGATCACTTCCCATTCATTCATAATTGAGGATATAGTAAACATACCATGTCCTCAATTATCTACAAACACTCAGCCCGTCCCGGCTGCGGCGCTCTCGGTTCAGCTTCTCCGTTCTTGCTCACTCAGCCTCCTTTGACAGCGTGTCAGAGAGGAGAGCGGGTACAAACACGCAGTTTGTACCCGTGACACGCTGTCAAAGGAGGCTGAGTGAGCGAGAACGGAGAAGCTGAACCGAGAGCGCCGCAGCCGGGACGGATCCCGGCAATACTGTTGAGATCCACCCAGCTAGCTGATTGACAGAGGCAGAGTTAGCTGTGCTCGCCCCTCCCCTGTTCATTCCTCCACTCAGCACTGGAGGATCAGACATTAATCCCTGCAGGGAGCAGTGACTGACAGTCACTGCTCTCTGCAGTGCAATTATCAGAAAGTGAGCGAGTGACGGTGTGTGTTCGCTCACTTCCCGATCTATAGAGCCGACAAGTGACCGTTTCATTGTCACAGGCCGGCTTTAACTATGAGGATGAGTGATTTTTCACTCACCTCATAGTTCTCCTTTAATTATGCTTCAGACTCTGATCTATCCATAACAGAAGCCTTTCTGGAGTGAGGAGTGTGTACATGCATCAACTAGAAATAGAGCAGCATCTGTACACTTACTGGTTCAGGTCCAGCCTGTCCATAGTATGAAGGATCACAGTGGTCTGTGCTAGGATATTCCCTGACCACTGCTAATGTTGCTGCTTTTTGTCTTTGTTCTTTCATTGCTGGGAAAAAAATACTAAATGTCCATACATCTACCCTCATTACTTTATACAGGGCTGAACAGTTCAATGCTGGTCAATCTCTGCCTCAGCAACACCCATTGCTTGTTTTTAAATCTTCTGCCCAGAATATAGCTGGGTGAATGCCATTTGCACTGCATTCCTGCCACTAGATGGCACTAAGCATCATAGAAAATTCCTGTGCTCCTCATTTAGTGGTGGTAGTGCTGTGCTCGGCGGAACATTTACCAATCAGACCCTAATCTGATATTAGGAATGTGATAAAATATATGCTTGTCCCATGTACCTCTCAGTTTGACTGACATCATTTCTGCCGCCACATCAAGTGCCAGCCTCACTCTGGCCACATCCTGAAGCAGCTGTACTGATGTCTCCTCATTTCTTTGCCACTTGCTGCTTCTTAAGTAGTTTTGCAAAAACGATGCTTCCAATTCAAAGTATTCAAGTTTTTCATCCTCATTTTGAACTTTTTGTTTTTTTTCATATAGTGAATCCTGCAATAAATCCCAACTTATAATAAAATAATACAACATATAGAACACAAATATGATCTTGATACCACACATAAAAGACTGTCATAGTAAAAATGTGTCTCTTTCTTTGACATTTAGAGATAAAAGCACTTTTCTACACCTCCTCCCCAGCAAACTGAGCATATGTTATGGTACATATATACCTGTCTACCATACCGCTGCCCAGATGTTTCCATTCAGTGATAAACACAGCGCCGTACAGTTCCTGGCTGAAGCTTTCAGAAATCCACCAAGAAAAATGTGCTGCGCATGCGCATGGAACCTCCAATCATCTCAACTGGAAGCCCATTTGTCAGCCTGGGGATAAACTTTCCATTGAAATTAAGCATGTTCAGATACCAGTGCCAATACTTGGCATTTTCATGAGAACTACCAGGGTTGCAGCTGGGACCTGGCTCTGGCGCTCCACCACTGTCCTGAAATCATTAGTCTGCATTGTTTTAGAAAAACTGGCACATGACAATAAACAAAAATGTATCAGTACTTGTATCTGTGAGTACTTGGACAAGTATCAGTACTTGAAAAAATGGTATCGGTGTATCCCTTACATGTATATTTATAAAAGAATAATCATACATTAAAACAGGGATGCACAAATCCCAGGAGCTCTGTACGCTCTTTCAAAATGATAACTGCCTCTTAACTTTTGAATTTTTCTCTAGTCTAGTGTTGGAGCTGGAAAAGTATCTGTACTTGTACTTGTACCGAGTACAGTACTTGGTATCTGAACATCCCTAATTGAAATGAATGGATCCGTGGTGCACATGCACCCGAACAGCTCAGAGGATTTCTGAGGATTTTAGTCATAAACTATGAGATGCTGGTGTGCCTCATAATGAAGCTCTACAGACAGGTAAGTACAGGTTATGCTTAGCGTACTGACTTATGCTTTAAAGTCTGACTGAACTCTCAGTGAAAGGCTCCATTCACATCTTTATTTTAGGTGCAATTTGCAGAACGCCGACATGCTGCATGTAGTTGTATGTGATATGATTACATGCAGTTGGGAAACAATCGCTATCCCTGGATGCATTGATCGTGCCTTCATAGATAGTGATTTTGCATAATTATCGTGTTGAAAGTCTCACTTCCAATTTAACATTACATTTTGGACAGATGGCCTCACATATTCATTAAGCCCACTCTAAAATGATGCCAAATGTATACTCGGTGACTACATGCTGCCCAGGCCCTGAAGCAGCAAAGCAACCCAAAACTATAACATTTCCACCACCATGCCTCACAGTTGTTCAAGTTCTTCTCTGAAATGCTATCTTCGGCTGATGTCAAACATGTCTACTCTATTTTTGACTGAACGTCAAACAGTAATCTTGCTAATATTCAATGTGGACAGTGAAGGCTGTTTCTTAACCCCTTCGTGACGGGAGACGTACACTGTACGTCCCGCCACAAAGTGACTATTAGACTGACACGTACACTGTTGGTGAAGAGTTATTTATTTAAGGCTCTGTAATGCCGGTAACTGCTGATTCTCAGCGGTTACCAGCCATTAATGAATGCCTCAGTATTGAGACATTCATTAATGAAATAGTTAAGATTTTGTAAAAGCTTCTTTCTTTCATTAATGAATAGCGCTCCCGTATTTGACAGCTGAAGATAGCAGAGAGGTAGCAGAGTGACTCACCTCTCTGCTATTCCTTTTGACAGTTTGATAAATTGGCCTGATGTTTGTGATACATTTCAGGCAGTGTTACAAATGTATCTCTCCAGCACAATGGGCGAAGAGGGTTCTTTACAGTAAGAGCGGTTAAGGTCTGGAACTCAGCCAAGAGTGTAGATTTGTTCAAGAAACGTTTGGACAATTTCTTGAGGGACCGTAATATCCAGGGATACCAGTATCCCTAAGAATGAGATGATGCGTGGACCTATATGGGTTGGACTTGATGGACGTATGTCTTTATTCAACCCCAAATACTATGTAACTATGTAACTTCTGACCGTCTGAGCACGATCAGAAACCTTTAGTGAGATCTGATTCTGACATGCTGTCAGGATCAGTCTCTAAGGTTATTATTAGCTGTTCCTAAGTTTGGAGCAGCCTAATAATAACCAAAAATGAAAAAAGTTAATTTATCAAGCAGTCATAGTGACTGCTTGATAAAAACTGACAAAAAAAGGGTAAAAAAAATTATAATAATAAAGTGTAAAAAAAATAGGAAAATAAAAATTAGATATAAATATATGTTTTATACTATAATTATTATAAAACATTTCTAAAAATAATAAATATAAAAACCTGTGAAAAAAAAGTGTTTTCTTTACGGTTTTTCCTATTTTTTATTCTAAGTGAGGCGTTAGGTACATGTATGTGATATCATTCTATCGCCCTCTAACATACAACATGTGCGGGGACATGTCCTCTAACATACAACATATAACATGTGCGGGGACATTTAGTAAGAAGGTATATGACTGACGTAGAAGAAATCGCACAGCAACAATGTAACAAGTGTGTACAGAGCTCCTGGGACCACCCTATGAAGGAGCCTATTCCATGTACAGAGCTCCTGGGACCGCCCTATGAAGAGTCTATTCTGTGTACAGAGCTCCTGGGACCACCCTATGAAGGAGCCTATTCCATGTACAGAGCTCCTGGGACCGCCCTATGAAGAGTCTATTCTGTGTACAGAGCTCCTGGGACCACCCTATGAAGGAGCCTATTTGGTGTACAGAGCTCCTGGGACCACCCTATGAAGAGCCTATTCCATGTAGAGAGCTCCTAGGACCACCCTATGAAGAGCCTATTCCATGTAGAGAGCTCCTGGGACCACCCTATGAAGAGCCTATTCCATGTACAGAGCTCCTGGGACCGCCCTATGAAGAGTCTATTCTGTGTACAGAGCTCCTGGGACCGCCCTATGAAGAGTCTATTCTGTGTACAGAGCTCCTGGGACCACCCTATGAAGGAGCCTATTTGGTGTACAGAGCTCCTGGGACAGCCCTATGAAGGAGCCTATTCCATGTACAGAGCTCCTGGGACCACCCTATGAAGGAGCCTATTCCATGTACAGAGCTCCTGGGACCACCCTATGAAGGAGCCTATTCCATGTACAGAGCTCCTGGGACCACCCTATGAAG